GCCCTCCGGATCCGCGGCCAATTGCAGCTGGCCGGCCGACGACTGCACCAAGACGGCGTGCTGCAAGATGAACGGCGCGGGGGGTGAATTTCCCCTCCTCCTATCTCGTGCTCCTGCTCTTCCTCCTCCTGCTCATCCTGCTCCTGCTCTGCCTCAGGCTCCTCCGTCTGCGCCTGCTCCTACTCCTGCTCTTCCTCATGCTCCTGCTACCATTTTGGCTCAAGTCAGTTTTTGGGCAAAGAGGTGCCCACTCGCTCTCCCCACCATCCCTCAGCAGTTCCTGTTTCGAGCCCTACTCTCACACGTTACATCAGGAGATGTCGACCCATTTTGGAGCTCCTTGTGTTCAGGCCGTGGCTGTCCCAGCTGTTCCTGGCACGCCTCGTGACGGCATGGGCATGGACGACAGTGACAATGACCTGAGAGCCTCCGAGGCCAGAAAGCACGGACAGGCCCTTACAATCTTCCTTTCGATCCAACGCAGGCGGCAGAGCGACACGGTCAAGCCGAGGGCCTCGAAGACCGGCAGATCCGCTTCCTGAGGGCCATGGGCGGCATGATCAAGGAAACCACCGCCATCCAGGACCTCAAGATCGACAAAATCCAGAGGGAGGTCACAACAGTGAAAACTGCAGTCACCGACCTGCAGACCACGCGGGCCACATTCGATTCCGGGCCGCATTCGATTCCAGGCTCGCCGCCCTCGAGGCGGCTCCGAGAGGAGGTGGTGCTACACCAGCTTCGTGCACGTCGGCTCCATTATCGGCCACACTGGCTTCAACTCTTATTGCGGCTTCCACTGCAGCCTTCGTGCCCATGGGTAAGCGCAGGGTGGCATGCGTATGAGGTTTCAAGTACGAGTCCGGAGACCTGCTCGTGAACCAAATCAAGACTGAACTAGATTCCCAACATATCAGGTGCGACAAAGTCATTCCCACGGGGGGATACTGTGAAAGGGTGCGAATCATACTTCAGAGCTCGGACCAGATGTGGACGATGCTCAAGGCCATGAAGGGCAGAAAGTTCCAGGGCGGCAACCTTCTGGCAGCGGGGCGCCAAAACCTCTGGCACGGCATCGACAAGCTGGGCTGGGATATCGGCGTGAGCAAGCAGCAGGTGAAGTCGATCCAGTTGTTGGAGCCTGTCGTCAAAGGTTTTTTTCCTGCACGCCAATCGCACGGCTTCGCGGCCGCCTTCGACATGAGAAGAACGACAAGGGCGATGTGATCTTCCTGCCGGAAAAAACTCCCAGGCAACGCGCACATGGGAGGCCCGATCAAGCTCTTCGACTGCGACCGCGCCACGCGCAAGCTGAGGGTCATGGCCACGGCGGGGGGGCCCCTCTCCGACCTCAACCTCGACCTCCAGCTGAACGACCACATCGGGGCGATTCAGGCTGCTGGGGGCCGTGAGGAGGTCCTTCTCTAGCGATCAGGAGATTGCGACGGCGCAGGATGCTTAACCAATTATTGCATTATCGGCTGGCATGTGAGTTTTTTTGTCGCTGAAGGGGATGCCAGACTTCCTGAGAGACGTAGATAAAAATCCTTCGTGCGTGCTACTTCTGCAAGAGTGTTTCGCCTTTCGCAGTGCAGAGCCTCCATGGCATATCGATGGGCACCGCGTGATTGTGGCCCCCCCGAGCGGCAGGGACAGGCGGAACGCGATTCTCATCCATCGAGACTGTGGCTGGTCGGTCCTCGAGGTGGTCCGGGGTAGCCGCTATGTGGGCGCTGCGCGCGAGCATTCAGAAGTCGGACGCGTGCTCTGAATTCGGACACGTACATGTGGGATCGTCCCACTTGCATCCTTCAAAGTCACGCAAGTTTCTGTTGGATAGTTTGGGAGAGATCCGTAAGCACATCCAGTCGGTGCTGGGTGAAACCACGGTGATCATAGGTATAGATGCTAACGCTGATTTGGGATCGATTGCGGACTCTGACGACCCCGACTCCACCCACATTGGCTCCTACGTCCGCTCCCCTCGCGAAACCCCTCGGCTTGATAAACGGCTGCGGGCTGAACATACTTTTCATGGGCGTCGTCGCGGCTACCTCGCTCGCTTCCCCGACCCAGGACAGAGACGCGAACCTAAACAGATATACTACGTTCTGACTAGACACTGTTCTCCAGCTTTGGTGATATGTTCGGTGGATTGCTCGACGGCCACTACCTCGGATCACGCCCAGGAAGCACTTGAAATCTTGCAGCACAGCGTGAACCTCTCACCCCAAGCCGATCAATTGGGCTTGATTTGACTTCGCGGCCTATCGAAACGCTCTGGGCGATTCCTGGGCATCGACGGGGCGCCTTTTTTCAAGGACGAGGAGGCTTTCGGTTTGTTCCTGGACGGATCGTTCTTCGATGAGGTTCTTGATTTCGTAAACGACCTCGGGGCCAACGTTTGGGGCGCGCTGGCTGGGGCTTCGCGTTGTTCAATGCGGCGTGTCCAACGGCGGGCGCGCCTCCGATTGTCCAGGCACGCGGCCCTGTTGTCTTGGGCTCCGCCGACCCTCTCCTCGTGGGGCCGTGCAGGGAGTCGAGCAACGCTGCTGAATTTACAGCGCCGATCGAAGCATGTCTGTGGCTACTCTACCAGAACACCTTCCAAAATCAGACCCGACTCCTCCCTCGCAGAGCTAAAATTATGCTCATCTTCGACTCCCGCTACGTGCGGCAGATTTTATGGGGCAGATGGCGCGCCCGCAGCAATCTAAACTTGGTCGCAGTAATGCAGGCAGTCTGGTACGCAGTCTGTCAATGCTATCAGGTCTGCCTCCCAGAATGGCGCAAAGGCCGCCCCAGAGACGCGGGCGACTCCGTGGCGGACCTCCTCGCCAAGGCCAGTGCTGATTCGGGAAGCATGCGTCCCGCCCGTCTGGCGGCCTGTGCTTTTGAAATGTCCAGCTGGCCGCGAGACTCCTGGAAGCCCTCCTGGACACCTGGGCGCCCCCCTCGGGTGAAGAGGCGACCTGGGCCATCCCTCCGTCTTTCGACAGTCCGACGACTCCCGCCCCCCGCCCCGCCCCCTCGACCCTTCCCCCGTAGACGACCTCGCCGCCGAAACGAAACGCAACGACGTGTGACTCCTCCTCCTTGTGGCGATCCCGAGCCCTCCCCTGGCGCCGACCCCCAATCCCCCCCCCTCGCGGATGTCCTGGGCCGGCCCCTCCCCCCCTAGCCGACCTCGCCACCGCTGTCGCGACCGCCGCCGAGGCTTATGGTAAACGACTTTCAAAAAGGCCCCCATCGGAAGCCTTTGGCAGACCCGCTGCGCAACCAGCTCGAGTGTATTCAAGTTTTAAGACGGGCCGCGGAGCCCCCGAAGCTTCGACACTTTTACTGTAGGCGCTAGGAGGATTGCGAGTGGCTCATACAGCAAGGGCGATCTGATCATCATGCCCCCCTCCTCCTTGGCAAGGCAGTATGTTGAACAGGGCGTGCTGACAGACAACCCAGATGAGATCTTGGAGATAGCCGAATATTTCTTTTCAGACCTTCGCCGTTCGCGAGACGTTCGACTTCCCCCCTCCTGGATTCCGAGAAGGTGGACTCGGGGGGGGCCTCCAGGTGGTAGGCAACATTTCGGGGCCCAGGGTCCGTCAGATCCCCCTCAAGATGAAGAAGGGGGAACCCTGCCCACGAAACGATATGCTCGTCGCCGAAATGTTCCTGGACGGCTCAGATGATTCCTATGACATCCTCGCCTCCCTGTTCGAGCTTAGGCTCCTGAACGACCCCGTGATGGGCCCCCCATCGGGCTGGGATGAGTAGGATGTACACCTGATCGAGAAAATGTGTAACCCGCTGTTCATCAAGAAGTGGCGGCCCATAGCAGTGCTCCCGGTTCTGTGGAAGACCAATATGCAGGTACTTTCTGAGCTAGGGAACCTGGCCTCGAGACCGATCTCGCCGCGCCAGTCTGCTTTCAGACCGGGTCACCAGCCAGCTGAGATTATCTTTATCTTCAGGGTCCCAGTTGAAAAAGTGATCGAGTTTCGGATTCCGTTTCGCGTTGTAGCTGGTGGCCTGTGCAAGTGCCATGACTGCGTCGACCGCGGGGTCTGGCGCCGCGCCTCTAAGCTCGCAGGTATCCCAGACATCCTCACTGCGGCCATGATTCGCGAAGTGCGTCGCGGACGGGGCCGACTCATTTCCCCTCGCCTACCTCCCTCGAAACCTGTATCCAGGACCAGGCCGATCATCGTGGACCGCGCACTGGTGCTCCCTTTCCTCGCTCTCTGTCAGCCGCATGGTTGGGGATGCCCGATCGACTGCGATGACCCTTGGGCTTTAGATATCAATTGTTGCGCTTACCAAAAGAGAGACGAATACCACAGAGATATTCCGCGCATTTCCATCCTTATCTTCGCTGACAATTTTTGGCTGTTGGGTGTCAACGCCATCGTGGTCGCGCAGATGACCAGCGCTTGGCGCGCCGCAGGCTGGTGGGTCGATCTTCGCGACGTCGAGTGGATCTCGACGGGGGGCGCCTCGTCTCAGACCGCGATCCAGGATGTCTGGGGCCAGCCGCCCCCCCGAGCACTCGGCGGCGGGCCCCCCAGAGGAGAAACGTATAAACAAAGAAGAAAGAATGAAGAAGGCAATAATGGGGGGAACAACAAGAGGGGACCCCCCAACCCAAAAAAAAGGACGCGCCCCAATGACGAAACCCTTCGCGATATCATGTGCAGCGCGAGAGCTCGGGATTAACGTGCTAGGTCATCAGATCTCTTTCGATAGCAACGCGTGGGCGGCCATTGCCAGGCGCGAGCGTCTTCTTACCTGCCGAGTGGGTACAGCCAGCAAGAGGCTTCGTCTACTCCACCGTGTCTTTTTCCCAGCCATCGCTTGCAACGCGGGCGCCCCCACTTCGCCCAGGTCCATCTTCGGGAGATGCGGGCCGCCCAGATCTGCGTGGGGCGAACGGTTTTCAGGGGGGGAATGCCCCCGCCGCCCCCCGGAGCGCCCCGCCCCGCCCCGCCCCCGCCGCCGACGACGACTACGAATAATGACATGTTGATTGAGCTCCCCTCCAGCGAGACGAATGTGATTGCGGTCCTCGGTGTGCTCT